TATACTTTCTTAAAAATGTTTATTTGAAAGTCAGAGTAGCTCAAAAGAGTTTTTAAAGTTAGAATGATGGTGAGAAGGACAAGGAAAATTATTAATGTGGATCTGAGCTCACAATCTACATTCATTTCCCTTCCCACCCATCTTAGCACACCTGCAGACCCAGGACTCGACAAGGAGCCAGTGATAGTAATCAGTTGTTTTCTCTGTTGTGTGTTTTGCTTGTTACTGAATAGTATTTTCCTGGTAAAGAAGCAGAAAGAATGAACCAGGAAGTTCCTTGCATGCCAGAAGGGTCAACAATAAAAAGCAAAAAACCCAAGCTGTTCACATCAAGGGAAAGATGTGATTAGAGAGATGTAACATGCAAAGAAATTATACGAAAAGTGAATTCAGTTGGGAGAGCATGAGCCCCAAAGAGCCCTAAGCAGCTGGTCACGATCAGATTCTCCAACTTTCTGTCAAATGTAATCATATCCGAGTTGGCAGGGTATTTATTGCTAAAGTTGAAGGGCCAGATTTTACACTAAACATATTTACACATTTACATTTGTGGCCCTATAAACACTCCACGTTTCACTGGCCATGACATCAAACACATTTACCAACAAAAAGCATATGCCTAATTACAAAATCATAGGGGAGTGGGGTGGCAAGTGGCAGCTGATGGGCAATGAGTGTGCATGCCTGTGTGTGCATATGAGTCACCAGCTGCAACTCCAGGAAACTGGGAGAGATGAGAATGGATGCTGACAATGCCGGACTCTCTTCACTTGGCCTCTGCTCCCCAGGCCTGTCCTTGTCGGGTTTAGTTCTAAAGCGGGAAGGGGACCCCTGGCATTTCAATTAGACCCAAAGTGACCCCCTGGAGGAGCCCACAGACACCAGCGTGGTTCCCAGGCACATTTCTGATTTGGATTGAGTTTGATGCTGTTACGACCCTTAAGCTACCCCCAAATGACTTTTCTTGGTCAGTAATAAAAACAGGTGTGAGCAAAATGTGTCGCCAAGCAGAGAATTTTAAAACTAAACTAGCATCCTTAATTCCTGGCTTTGGGTAGTAAGATCAGATCCCTACCCATCAAGAGCAGTTGTAATAACACCGTTAGTTGCTGCAAGCTTGGTCCTCAGTCGAGCAAGGAAACCAGAACCACCAGGGCCACAGAGAGGAAAACAAAACCGGCACAACCACTGGCCTCAAACAGCCCTTAATAAATGACATAGGCTGGTATTCCATCAAAATAATCACCTTCCATCAGAGTAACCACCTTCTCCCTCAGCTCCCTCAGAGGACAGGCTGCAGGAAGAAGTGGTGGACTAAAAAAAAAGAAACCATGAAGGGCAGACGTCTTTCTCCCAAATGGATGCTTACAACATTTACTGTAAGGTTTTTGATAATAAATATGCCCAAAATGTTAGTTCCATCAGCAGAAAGTCCGAGCAGGAAAGAGCCCTGAGCAGGGGACAGGGAAGGAGAGATGTGCAAACAGAAGGCATCTGAGTGCGTAAAAATTAGGGAGAAAATGAGTCCTCACGTTCCCCCTTTCCCTACCCAGTTTTCCTTTTTTCTTTTCTTTTGTTTTCTTTTTTATCCTCTCTTTCCCTCTTTTTTTTTTTAAGAGGAAGGGAAGTGGTTCTTACATAAATGCAGGGCATAGGGATGGAGAGTAAACACCGTGTTGAGCAGAAGCGCTAGCTTATTTTAAAGAAATAAAATAATTACCCGACAGAGAAAAAAGAAGCCAACCAAGAAACAATCTAAGGTCATGACACCATGTGTGGTACAAGGAGCAATTCAATCCATAAGGGCTTCATTACCCCAGCAATAGATAACATTTGGCTAAATCTAGCTGCAGATTAAATCTCCGCGGCACCGCGGAGCCCTGAATGGAGAGGCTCCTTTTTGTGTGGTCCTTCCCCGGGACCTGCCCCAACCATTAGCCCCGATAGATCCCTCTCCCTATTAACTGCAATTCCCTCCCAACTGTGCTTCGGTCATTTGTCTCCAGGCTCTACGGGGGTGTTTGATGAGCAGAGAAACGAGGAGAAGGGGAGAAAAGCGTCGGGTTAATGAGTTGTAGCAAATCCACACTTTGTAGTTGGGAGGAGGAGAGCTGGTGGCCAATGTTTGTCCAACTGGTTTATTTTTCGAGACCCAGCCTATTGAGAAAGGCTTGTTCAAGCAGGCTTCATCCTTACAAACACACAAACATCCTTCTGTTTGCCTTCAAAGAAAAGGGGACCAGAGCTGAATTTGCATGCGAATGCGGGGGCCCCCGGGAGGAGACGTCCTTGCCCATCAAAGGCCGCGGTAGCCGGGCAGCCTTTGTTCCAGCACCTGCTCACCCCGCGCTCCGGCCTTTGCGGGATCCACGGCCCACCGCGCAGTCCTTGCCTCCCCTAGGCCCTCGCCCCTCTCAGTCCGGAGCCCACTCCTGTCACAGCCCACGGGTCACCCAGCCCTGGTATCCCCTCCAACCGCTGGCCAGGCCGGAATGGCCAGCGAAGCTGAGCGCAGAACCACAACCCGGGAGACTGGAGTAGCTGGACTCAAAGGACCCAAAAATCCAGACTGAGGCAGGCAGGTCGAGTTTACTTTTCCTTACGGCTCAGAGCTCGAGATGCGCCCGGGTCTCTCCAGCCAGCGCGGAAGAAGCGGGACTGGAACTGCGGGCCGGACCGCAGCGAGGCTGGATCGCCCAGCACCTACCTGCCATTCCCGTCAGGGTGCTGACAGCCTGGGAAGTGGGGCTCCTCCCGGCACTTTTTTAAAGATGCGGGAATCTGAACACAAAGAGATTGGCCAGGAATCCCTGCTTTCAGGACATCCAAGCCTCATGCAAATAACCACACACACGTGACTGTTCTTGCACGCTCTCTTCACCACTACTTTCCGATGGACACGTTACATCTGTGTGTTGCAGAAGGCTGCGAGGGGGCCAGCAGTGCCTGCGCAGTTTGGGTTCCGCCCGCTAATGGCTCTCCACTCCGGTAGCATCGGATGTTCGCGGTTGCAATGTCTCCTCTCCCTTACTTGGGCTAGAATAAAAGTAACGTTTGCATATAACTAGAATAAAAGATTCTTGTCTAATGATACTTCAACTTGCATCTATATATTTATTAAGTTTGAGGGTGAATGTGTTTAAACTCATTTAATCTCTTCTGAACATGCCTCCTTATTTTTTTAAATTTTTAATTTATTGATTGTAGAGAGAGAGAGAGAGAGACACTGATTTGTTGTTTCACTTACTGATGCACACTCACTGGTTGTTTCTTGTACGTGCCCCGACCCGGATCAAACCGCAACCCTGGTGTCCTGAACAACGCTCTACCCAACCGAGCTGCTCAGCCAGGGAACTTCCAAATATTTCATAGGAGGGGGAAAAAAAAGGAACTTAATTTTGAGGCTGTGAGTCAGTTTTTTCCTCCCTAAAAATAAAGGAGGGGACAGGATGTCAGGAGTGCCTGTCACTGCAACATACCGCCTACATTTCAGTCTTTGTAACTTGCTCGGTTCAATCTGCAGATCTGCACACGTGGGCCTGCCGAGGTGCTCAAAACACGTCAATGAACAGATTCTACCTCCTCTGCAACGCACTGGTCCTAAGTATTCAAATGTCTTGGTTTCATCTGAGCCCGCATTAATATCGGTAGTCATCAAAACTACAGTCTCCCTTTTTGTTTCAAGGTCTACAAGTTAACTTTAACAAGTAGATGAAAACACATAGAATTAGAAAAAAAAGATGTTCCAAATAATCTAAAATGTATAAATATAATTAGTTCCATAAACACCTGATGCATTTTCATTTTTATTACTTACTCATTTAAACTAGAATTTTGATGTTTACCCTTTAGGATAAAAACTTCTCTATGCAGTTACTGGAATCTCTTCCCTTGAGAAAATAGCTTTAAATACCAAAACTTTCCAATACAATTTATTTTGTGTATGTGAACATTTTCTTATTCAGAACTTCAAAGCTATTTAACTGATGATCACATCTATTAAAAATTTACAACTAAAAATTGCCTATTTACTTGTGTTGCTCCTGTTACTATATAATACTACATTGCAGAGCTTTTAACGGATATTCACAATATTGTGCTCAAATGTCAGCAGAAATTGCTTGAAGTGGGAAGCTCAAAAAATAAAAGTTCTATACAATTATTCTAAGGTAAATGTAGCTTTAATTTTAAATAGACTCAATGCTCATCAAAATGGAATGAAATTAGATTTGAAAATGTATACCGAAGTTACTTCTTTTATTTGTAGTCATTTTTTAAAAACTTCTCATCTCCTATAATGATGCTTTTGTTAAATTCTGTTTGAAAAAGAATCTGTTTGAAAACATTTGCCTTTCTATAATGGGTTCCTTCTCTCACACAGAAGCTTCTTTTTTAACAGAAAGAAAATTAACTAAGGGAATGACTAAACCCAATTCTTTTGGTGGATTTTCATTGAAAATTAAGCATTTTATTTCTGAAAAAGTGTAAAAATCTTACATTAGAATAGTACAACAATTGCCAGTAAAATTTACAATACTCCTTGTAAAGAATATGCAGTAAGTACAAAATAAAAATTCCTCATGTCTATTATGATACAAAACACAGGTTAAAATAAGAAATAATTTGACTTTTTTCCTTGTGTAAACACGTTAATCGTTTTTTTTTCCTTTTCATGAAAAAGTACACCAAACAAGTGTCCTCAAATAAAAATTACTGCTTTGCGGACATTCTTCAGGGCCTTTACTATTTTTGTGTTCGTCTTTTGAACACTGATTATTTTGTCTTTTTAACGCCTGGACCTGAGAATCTCTAGACCTCGAAAAGGCTTAGAATTTTTAAGCGTTTCGCAAAGACCAGGACGCCACCGCGCCCGGGCAGGGCAGCCCGCACCGGCGCCTCTCCTCCCGCCCGGGGCCGGGGCCGGGGCCGGGGCCGCAGCTCCGGGGGCTCCGCAGGAACCGGGCGGCCGCAGAGCCGAGGGCGCGCCGCGCGGCCGCCCAACGCAGTCTCGTCCGAGGGTCCGCAGCGGCGAGCGCGAGGCCCGGAGCGGACGCCACACCCCACCACCGAGACGGAGAAAGGAGCGGGGTCCTACCTTCCGTTCCGCGAGCGCGCAACGGAGCGCCCTTAACCATTTGAAATCCTAGCGGTAAAGTTCTCCACCCCCGGCAGGGCGGTCCCCTGGTGCAGGGTCCCCAGGGCGGCCGACGAGGACACGGAGGAGGCGGCGGCGGCCGCGGCGGCCACGAGGGAGCGAGTGAGCGCGGCCGCCGGGCCCACGGCCGCCTGAGCCGCGCAGCCGCCGGGTCCCGGCGCGGGCGCCGCCGCGGGCGAGGGGGACGGCGGGGCCTGCGCGGCGGCGGCGGCGGCGGCGGCGGCGGCGGCGGCGGGGCCCAGGCGGCCCCCGATGATGCTCTCAATGGAGAAGGGCGAGCGCGCCAGGGCCGCGGCGCCCGGGCCGCCCGCCTTGGCCGCGGAGGCCTGCAGAGGCCCGGGCAGGGCGGCGCCGAGCGGGGGCGGCCGGTAGCCGAAGGCGGTCCGGGCCAGCTCGGCGGCGGCCGCGCCGGGCGGCGCGGGGGGCGGCGGGGGCGAGTGCGGGTGGAAGGCGGCGGCGGCGGCGGCGGCGGCGGCGGCGAAGAGCGCGGAGGGCGGCGCGTAGGGCGGCAGCTGCAGGCCGTAGCTGCAGGCGTAGGGCCCGTAGCCGTAGGCGTGCGGCGGCGGCGGCGGCGGCGGCGGCGGCGGCGCGGGCGGGAAGAGCGCGGCGGCGGCGGCGGCGGCGGCGGCGGCCGCAGGGTCGCCCGCGCCCCCCGCGCCGCGCAGCAGCAGCGCCTCGGCGGCCGCGGCGTTGGGCGGGAGCAGCGGCTGCCGCTTGAAGCGCTTCCTCCGGCGCAGGAAGCTGCCGTTGTCGAACATGTCGGCGGACTCGGGGTCCAGCGTCCAGTAGTTGCCCTTGCCGGGGTTGCCGGGCTCGCGGGGGATCTTGACGAAGCAGTCGTTGAGCGAGAGGTTGTGGCGGATGCTGTTCTGCCAGGCGGGGAACTTCTCCCGGTAGTAGGGGAAGCGGCCGCTGATGAACTCGCAGATCTCGCTCAGCGTCAGCCGCTTCTTGGGGCTCTGCAGGATGGCCATGGTGATGAGCGCGATGTACGAGTAGGGCGGCTTCACCAGCGGGTTCTTGGCGCCGCCGCCCGCGCCCCCGCCGCCTCCGCCGCCCCCGCCGCCGCCGCCGCCGCCCGCGCCCCCGCCCCCGCCGCCGGCCCCCGCCGCCGGGGCTGGGCCGGGGGGCGCCGGGGAGCCCCCAGGCTGCGGGGCCAGCAGGATGTCATCGTCGTCGTCGTCCTCCTCCAGGTCCTCTAGTTCGTCCTCGCCGGCGTACGAGCGCCGCCGCCGCCGCCGCCGCGCGGGGACAGCCAGACCCGGCCCGCCGCCGCCGCCGCCGCCGCCGCCCTCGTCGTCCTCCTCTTCCTCGTCGTCTTCGTCCTCGCCCTCCCCCACCACGTCGATGTCGGTCTCCTCGGCGAGGCCGCCGGCATCGGACATCTCCGTGCTCAGGGTCATAGCTGTCGCGCTGGGATGTCGGGGCGGCGCATAGGGGCGCCGGACTCCGGGCTCCCGCAGTGCCCCAGCCCGGGTCCCCGGCGCAGGGCCCGGCCCCGGGGCGCCACGCTGGGGGCGCGGCCGCTGCTCGGGCCGAGCTCCGGGGCCGCCCGGTGGCGGCCCAGGCTTTGCCCTGCGAGCTTGTAACTCCTGCGCCGCCGCCGCCGCAGTTGCCCCGCGGTCCCTGCGCCCCCTTGGCTCCTCGCGCACGCGGCCGAGGCGGAGGACTTGACCTTCCTCCCTCCGAGAGCCACCGGCAGGGTCAGTTGAAGAGGGGGTGACGGGGCCCCAGGTGAGCGAGTCTGAGCGTCGGAGCGCCCGGGAGGGTGCGGGACGGCTGAGAGCCTGGGGACAGTGCTCGGCGAGGCGAGGGGCTGAGACCAGGAGAGGGCGGACCTTCCCGCGGCTTATAGCAGGAGGAGGCCTGTCACATGGTGTGCACGTCAGAGCGCTACCGAGGGACGGGAAAGAAAGCCTAGGAAGTCAGCCTTGCTCTGGAGAGAAAGTTCACCCGGAGGAGGGAGCAGGAACTGAGAAGAGGCGACAGGAGACGGGACTCCACCATTCCTTGCCGAAAGGCCTGAGACCTGAATTACGCATTGGCCGGCGGTGGTGGATCCAAGGCACAAGTTCGAGTTCCCGGCCTCTTTCTCTGCTGTTGGCCTTCAAACCCTAACTTCAGAAGCAGCCCCTTGACGCAGCAGACTGACCGCTCCAAGGCCTGTAGGAGCCGTCCAGCCGGGCAAAACGACACCCGGTCGTCCGAGGTGGTCCCTGGGGAATGGCCAGGAGGTCTGTCGGATTGTCCCCTCTCCTCTAGATGGGGCAGGTGGCTCCCTATCGGATCTGATGAGAATCCCCACTCCACCCCCGTTTAAACACAATAATTGTTTACTGACCTTTTAACCCGTCTCTTTTGGTTCTTCCCCAAAGACGTTTGTTTTCTACCATTTGTTAATAAAAACACCGTTAGGCTGGCGTTTTAGCCACTTATCTGCAATTGAATGCCCTAGAAACTTAACGGGTAAACTAAGCCATTCTAATGAGAGGATATGAAAATTTTCATGAGTATGAAGAAAGCAACGATTGAGTGTAGAGAAGAAATAGAAACACGTTGAACACCCAAATACCCACAAAAATGCACCTAGAAAAGACCCCCAAAAGTTACATTTTTCATAATGGGGTAAGGCGCTCTATAGGTACCAGTAGGGGCACGTGCTAGTCAACACTTCACAGTCATCTCCAAACACTTGAATTGCTACAGTGTATGCACTCGTCTGCATTCAAGTGGGCTTAATAATAGAAACTACAACGATAAGTAAAAGTTTTCAGACGCGTTTTTCAAATGCTTTTTGAGCCCTGGCGAGTGTGGCTCAGTTGGCTGGGCATCCTCCAGCAAAGCCAAAGGTCGTCGGGTGATTCCCGGTCAGGGCACTTGCCTGGGTTGCGGTTCCGCCCCCGCGCAACTGGTCACGTTTCTGTCCCTCTCTTTCTCCCTCCATCCACTTTCTTTAAAAACAAAAAAATAAAGTCTTAAAAAATAAGTAGATGTTTTCTTGAAAATTCACTGAATATTTCCAATAGCCACTGGTGAAAAGAAACAAAGGTGTTTTTGTTTTGTTTTTTTTTCAAGTAACATTCAAGTTCTGGTCAACTCGATTTTTCTTTTCAGGTGACAGACAAGTTAGTGGAAATAATTCAAATATGATTCTGTTTTAAGTGTACCTAGGTTTGTCACAAACTCTATTTTGGCTAGTAAAAAGTCCTAATAGCTGTGGAATTCATACGCACATAGCCATACCTATCAGATTTTGGCATTTCCTAAAACACTTCTACTTCAAAGGGAGGGGCACTTGCCTGAAGTTGTAGCTCGCTCATTAAGAAATGACCACTTGATGAGAACTGAGAATCAAAACTCAATGGCTCTGCAGGAACATTCATCAGCTGCCCCTGTGTATGCCGTTTTACGGACCAAGTACTCTTCACATTCTGAAGCATTTCATTATTCCCCTTATCAATCACAGAGCCTCAAAAATAAACTATCCCCCCATTTAAGACTTGTTTTAAAATGGAGTTTTTGTTGCTGAGAACGGCTACCAACCAGTTACACTTACAAATGACCCATAAAGTTCATCATAGGTTTGAAAGATCTATGAGAATGTCTCGAAGTTCTAAATAAATTATTTTTCATTTACTCTCGTTTGATATATGGCTGAACCATTTAATTGTTGTAATTGGTTCAGGATTAACCTGAGCCAACATTAATCAGCACTATTAATCAGGCATTACATTGCTTTGTTGATGTAGCCAGGAGTCCTTACCAACGAGTTCACTTTCACATTTGAAAGTTTAAGTTTTGTAAGTACTGCTCAATCGATATCTAAATAAACACCATGATTTTCGTTGGACTCGGGATTGGTGTGTGGCGAAGTACTTAACGATGAAACGGAGAGGAAGAATTTGTTCGCCGACCATTAGCTACATCAGATGATCAGTTACAGCCCTCATTCCATTGTTGCCACCGCCCTGAACTTGTCTGGCCGAGCAGGGCACGGTGATTGACCTGGCGTTCCGTTTGTAACTGTCTGAAGGTCCCTCCCCAAAGGGTTAAAGGGCTGTTCCCTGAAAAAAAAAAATGGTTTTTTTTTAAACATGGCGAATTATCTTCTCACCATTCAGGAGAAAGTGTTAGGATTTACTGAAGGTCAGAGCAGCAGATCAACCCAGGAGAGCCGCTGCAGGGACAGTGTTAACAGAGATTTCGGTGAGCTTTACTAAAGCCCCACATTTGGTCAGCCCACTTGCTTTGTTTGTTTTAGTTAACCTGCACATTTGTATGTGATTTCCAGCTCTGCGCTCGTAAAATTTCCCGAGTGCGGAAACCCAAGCATCTCATTTCTCCAGCGTCCCCCTTCAGTCCCCTTCATCCCCTCACCCCACCGCCCTCCTTCCCTAAAGTGCACCCAGGTCTCTGCAGAGTCTGGGGACGCCACCCCGCCTCCTCAGGCTGGTACAGGGGACCCGACACCTTTCCTCGGGGTGGGAGAGGACGACGCCCCCTCTCCTGCGCTTTCCGCGGAGTTGGACGCGGGAATTGGTTGGGCGCCTGCGGGCCGGATGTGGACCACGTGGGGGAGGGCTGCCCCCTGGCGGTGGCGCGGCGCCCCGGTGCTGGCAGGAATCCGGGGCTCGCCAAGCAGCTGGCGTTTTGCTTCATTCCCACCTAGCTTTGGGGTGCCAGCATTATTTTTTTCTTTCCTCTGAGGCCTCACCTCTCCTCTGTGGCAACTGGGCAGGCGCTGAGGCATTTCTTGGACTACTGGTTGCGGTCGGCTTGGGCGCCACAGGAGAAAGGGAGGCATCCCCCTCAGCCCCTTGCCCTCGAGCCCTCGATCGAGAGCTCGGGAAGGTCCAGGGACCTCCTAAGAAGGTCGAAGGCTAGCGGAGACCTGGGGCGTAAACCTGGATGACTCCTCGCTGGGTCCCTAAGCGCAACGTAGGAGTTTACTCATGAACGTGAACCTGAACGTGTTCCCAAAGGGCAAATATTTTGGGCCCCATCCCTCCTCGAAGAGTCATCCCACAAGCCTGAATTAAGATGCGTTATTGCTGGGACTCCGTTCTGGAGAGAGGAAGAAGACAGGAGTCCCTGGTGTGAGGGTACTCATAGTCTCATACAGGAGGCAGGTAAATAGGTACTTATGCCCCTTATGTGCTTTCTGCGTCCCCCAGCTGGGAGTGAGCAATGCTTCAGCGTCCCTGCCGGTTGTCTGCTCTGGTCTGTAATCCCGCACTGACCTCCACTGTGGGTGTACCTTCTCTTTTTAAACTCAAATGTCTGAAGGCCAAAAAGGGCTCCTGAGTGTTTGTTTGTGGTCTTTTGTTTATTTGTTTTTGGAGTGTGTTAAAATACACAAAACATGAAATTTACCTACTTAAGTGCACAGTTCAGAGTCATTAAGTACACTCACAGTGGTGCATTATTTCCATCACCGCAAACTGAAACTCTGAACCCTTTCAAGAATAACTTCCACTTCACTCCCCCACCCCCCAGCTCTTGGTGAACATGACTCTGCTTCCCCTCCCTATGGCTTTGACTATTCTAGCTGCCTCGTGTAAGTGGAATCACACAATATTTGTCCTTTATGTCTGGCTTATTTCACTTAATATAATGCCTTCAATGTTCATTCCTGTCATAGCATGTGGCAGAATTTCATTCCTTTTATAGGCTGAATAATATTCCATTGTACATTCCACATGTAGCACATTTTGCTAATCTATTCATCCATTGATGGACATTTGGATTGTGTCCTCTTTTATTTGTTTTTGAACCTCTACTCACCTAGCTCTTTGTAACACTTTGCATACAACAGGCACTCAATAGAGGTTTATTTGTTCATTTTCCTATGCCTTTTCACCTCAGAAATCCTCAGAGGAATTCCATTGTCCTGACGTCAGGGAAGTCACAGTAATGGTTTCTGTCATGCTCTTCTGAATTTGTACCTTCAACTTGCTTATGATTCTGAGATTTTCAAACTCGTATTTTGTCCATTGTGTTCAGTAAAGGTAGAAGTTAGGACTCCGCCGAAATTAGTTTCAGATAAAATTGTGATCATTGTCCCCACACACATGCTTTTCACATCTTTTTTATGCTTTATTACCTGTCTTAATTCCTGGGGCTCCAAGGTGGCCTCAGAAGTTTTCTCTGGGCCCTAATGGCATTGCTCTGGGCCCTAACGGCGTTGGTTGGAGCATCATCGCATACACCAAGAGGTTGCAGGTTTGATTCTGGTCAGGGCACATGCCCACACTGCTGGCTGTGTCCAGGGGAGGCAATCGAGTGATGTTTCTCTCTCATATTAATGTTTCTGTCTCTCAAATCAATAATAAAATATCCTTAGGCAAATATTTTTTAAAGTTTTTTTAAGAGAATATTTCCTTAAAAAAAATTTTATTTATTTATTTTCAGAGACAGGGGAAGGGAGGAAGAAAGAGAAGGAAAGAAACATTGCTGAGCCAAAGAAACATTGATTGATTGCCTTTCGCATGCCCCCAACTGGGGACATGGCCTGCAAACCCCGCATGTGCCCTGGGAATGTCCTCACTGGGAACCAACCAGCAGCCTTTTCGTTGGCAGGCCAGCACTCGATCCACTGAGCCACAGCAGCCGGGGGGGCGGATTTTTTTTCTAAGTTTTCTCTGGTTGTCCAGGCCCTCCATTTGGCTTTCTTCTGTGATATAATATTACCTGCCATGAGTGTTGGTTCACACATGCCACTGAACTAATTTCAAGGTCATGCTAACTGGTGAAGTGGGCACTTCCACATGATGGCCAAGGAAACAGGCTCTGACAGCTGCTGCCAGC